AAACAGTGTATACATACTTTTGGGACACCCTGTATAAGAAGATAAGTAATAATGAACTATATGTTGAAATGGCGTCCTCGATGAAGGCTAACATTACTAACAAAATGTGTCACACACAATTATCTCAAAGATAGCCATGAGATTATTTTTGTGCCATCAATAATCACTCGTCATCCTCGCATGAAAAAAGCTTTGGCTTTTTTGGTTTCCTCTAGAAATCGTTCTTTGCTATGTTAGCTATTTATGAGAGCATCGTTTTTGAATACGTATAATATAATCCTGTAGATGCTGTCCTACTGTTTCAAAAGCAAGTTGTCTTCGTTGATTTTTTCTCAAGTAAAATTTCTTTGCTGCCCTTCGTCACTTCTTCAAAATTCTATACGGGGACCTGAGGTGGTCTTTTGCATAGCAGTGTTCGGTCGTCAGATTCTTGATATTAGTTCTGCATCGTTCACATTTCTAAGTGACGCTAACTTATTATCATTTCTTTAATTTCAATTATTCATTATTATTTTTTATTTCTTGCCTAGTTTACAATGCAGGAGTTTCCGAGGGCAATCAAAGTGTGTTCTAGATAATACGCAAATATTGTAAATTCAGTTGACTGATTCTATTCTATACTGTAGCTCGCAATAATTCATCTTGCACATTTCATTTCTAACTCGTATGTTTACTTAGGTAACGGCTCAAAGGCCTTAATTTCAGCATGGCGGCAGAAGATGTGGTGACTGTTGATTGGCTGGATAAAAACAAAGTGAGTTCAATTTATTCTGGCATTTTTGTATCATCTCATGTCTCCCCCATCCAAGTGCTTGCCTTTCTGGCCATCGTCTCATAATTGTTCTCAGTTGATTTTTCCAAGTTTTGTGGTGCACTGCTTTCAGGACCGTGTCGTAATATTGGATGCAACCTATGAAATGAAAGGCAAACCCGATTATAAAGAATTCAAAGAAAAGTATTATGGGCAGTTTGAGGACTTGATGAATATTAAGGTTCGCTTTTCTATTCAAAACTACGGAGAAACTG